ATCCTTAGGAGCTGCATTCTGACAAATATTTAGCTGATTTATAGTGATGTTAACAAAACGAGGATTTTTCTTTGAAGTGCTTTCCATCAAATATTTACTTGCTTTCTAAATGCAAATTTAAGGTGCGTTTTCTATTTAACAGCAAGGAATTACAACATTTGTCAGTGGTATTTCTAAGATAGTATTTATGCTCTGTGCTGTTGAGCTTTTCTGTATTATTGACTGAGCTACTTCAGTGCGTACACTTGCAATAACTGTTCTTACTGCAACTGCATACACTGTGCGTGATTAATCTTTTAACTCTAATGTGTAAGGGCATGTACCAGAGCAGCAAACCCTTGGAAAAAAGATACAGTGGCAACAGTGAAAATACCATATACTAATAGTACCATTATTTGCACCTGTATCACACTTGCTTTTTGTTATGAAGAAAAGCATGTCCAGTTTGCATGTATGAATGAAGCAACAAAAAACCTATGGTGCTTCATTCTTAAACTCTCACTTGACACAGTTTTTGTGGTTTTTCTAGGCTAATTTAAAGAGAGAGATATTTGTTATGGGTAAACCTCCTCGTAGCCCACTGATGACTAAGAGATCCTGCAGCTCGCCTGTCAGAGGTCACAGCTATTCACACAGGGTATGGTACTGGATGCCCAGTGTGCAATAACAGCGTTTCCTTAGAAAAGCAGCTCAGTGTCTAGTCTTTCAGTATTGTGCTTTTGCCCAAGTGTCTCAACACTATCAGTATGACGTGTTTTCTTCCTGTTGTGCTTCTGTGCTATGTCTGAGTAAAGCCAACAGGTCTGCGTGTGCCAAAACTTATTTTATAAATCCATTAGTATATTGTATCTCTGCAGTACTGCATAGTATTTCCAGTGCTACAAGATGTAAGAGGTCAAAGTTCTTTAGATTTAGCCTGGTTTTTTTCTAAATTACTCCTCTTGTTTCAAAGCATTTCTAGTCTATTGAAACTACAGCTTCTAAGAGTCAAAAATTTATACTTCATTGCATGTATACAGGCTGAATTCTTGGTTTTGAATCCATCTCCTTTTCAAAACATTTTGTTGCTGCTATGTTATGTTCACGCAACACTGTGCTCTTTATCAAAGCACTGTTATTCCAAATTGTCATATTCTTTAGCCTTTCCCTTCATATCTGTAATATAACAGTAACATAATTGTAACAATTTTACCTAGCCAGAAAGTCAGATTGTTTAGAGTTCCTATGTGTTTGGCTCAGAAAGGTGATCTAAACTATGAAAAAAACCCCCAGCCTAAACTACATGAGAGTAAGAATTTATGGGTTATGTTTTACTTTCAGTTTAGGTCTAAATTATTCTCTGCATTGGTTTCTTAACATTTGGCTCTTAAAACTGATAACAAGATAAACTGTTTTGCATGCTGTTGCTGCTGATTTTAGGTTATCGTCTTTCTGGTGGTTCCCTTTTTAAAATTTTAATTTTAATTTAAGATATGCAGGTTTGTGTAACTTCCAAAGTCTTGGCTTTTTGGCAGGCCTCTCTTTACTACCAGGTATGAGGGGACAGTGCTTTCTTCATCACTGAAGAGAGACAGTTCAATCATAGGAAGGCCAGGATTCTTGTAGTAGTGGACCAACACCATCCCAAAGAAAGTCCAACTGGGAATAAGATCCATAAAAAAGGAATTAAGCCCTATTTTAGTTTTGCGTGTTACTCCAAATGGATGGCATGTAATCAATATATTAAGAGGACTGTATTGGTCAATGTTTAGTGCATTTATGACTTTAATTCCAAACTACAAGAGCACAAATTGTACACTTAATTTGCATGTTCAGAACTATACATAGAATCATAGAATCATTAAGGTTGGAAAAGACCTCTAAAGATCATCAAGTCCAACCATCAACCCAACACCACCATGCCCACTAAGCCATGTCCCTAAGCACCACAACTACACATCTTTTAAATACTTCCAGGGATGCTGACTCAACCACTTCCCTGTTTGAATGCTTGACCACTCTTTCAATAAAGAAATTTTTCCTAATGTCCAGTCTAAACCTCCCCTGATGCAACTTGAGGCCATTTCCTCTCGTCTTATCGCTGGTTACTTGGGAGAAGAGACCAACCCCCACCTCGCTACAACCTCCTTTCAGGTAGTTGTAGAGCGCGATGAGGTCCCCCCTCAGCCTCCTCTTCTCCAGGCTAAACAACCCTAGTTCCCTCAGCCGCTCCTCGTAAGACTTGTGCTCCAGACCCTTCACCAGCTTCGTTGCCCTTCTCTGGACACGCTCCAGCACCTCAGTGTCCTTCTTGTAGTGAGGGGCCCAAAACTGAACACAGTGTTCGAGGTGCGGCCTCACCAGGGCCGAGTACAGGGGCACGATCACCTCCTTACTCCTGCTGGCCACAGTATTTCTGATACAGGCCAGGATGAACTATGCAAGCGCATATCAATCACGCATATCAAATCAGGTGTACAGCTGGGGCTGTTGACTTGACTGCACACTTTTTAATGTTTTTGGGATTAGGTCCTACAATTTTTCCCAGGAAACAGGGTAGTGTAGTGAACTGAGTTGTAGTTGGAAACTAGAAATCCTGAGCACCAAGAGCTACCCATAGGGTGATGCATTTCATGACACCTCTTGAGCACAATTAGCCAGACCTTGCAACAGTCCCCATTCTAGCCAATGCTACTGTATGTGGGAATGAGAGTTTAGGG